ATCAAAAAAGTACTCCAGAGTGTTGTTCAGCATGGGGGTGAGTAGAAAATGAAGGCTAATCATGTTTTGGGTGTACAATTCTTTTAAGCACTTTAAAAACTTCAATTCGAAACAAGAAGAGGATGGAACTAAATCTCATCTAGTGGATCTAAGACCGTTAAAATGTTGTTAATTCTAACAGGACTGATGAGAGGAAATGTTACAAAGTAGGGCTGGGAGATACAAATTCCTACCAAAACTAATTAATGGATTGGTTTTAATAAATTTTATAATAAAAAGTGACAAATGACGTACAGTATTAAAAAAAAACAAAAAATGAAATCCAAACATGTTTCACAAAAAAACAATGAAAATATAGAGACTGTTTTAGCTGGTGGCGTTACACTGTCAGCTAATTTATTACCTTAAAGAAACATCTAAAAGTGATTAAGTCCTTCTGAGCTATGGGAGCCCAATGAGAGCGTCGGTGTAAAAGAAAGTCCAGATTTTATTAAAAAAAAAATTAAATCTTTATAAACAAAAAATTCAATTAATCAAAATCAATGAACCAACGAGCTCAGTTACAATGGATTTTGTAGTACAGGGTTTATACAGGAATGATTAACTCTTTATTTTATGCTTTTTAATGCTCTTAGAAATAATTATAATGCCATCAACAAGTACCCATGACTCTCATATATATATATTTTTTTTTTGTTTCCGCGCAAATATATTGCAATATAATATATCTGACGAAATTGTTTTTATTTTTTACATTTTAAATAAAGCATTTTAAATGCCATGAAAATCATGTTTAATGAATGTTAATGCCAATTAAGGGCTTAATATTCTCCACTTATCTGCAACAAAATTCCAGAAAACTGTAAAAGTGCGGAAAGCCTGAGTTCCTTTAAATCAAGACTAAAAACACATTTGTTTAGGATTGCCTTCGACTCTTCTAGTTAAACAGTTCAACTAAAACATCATTAGTTCAACTTTTTTTATTTTCTTTAGTCCAACTGTTTTAAATATTCTTTTTGTTTCTGAATTTTTTTATTTTATTTTATTTTTTTCTACTTGCTTTGATTCAGTTTTATTTTCCTGTATTTTAATCATGTAAAGCACTTTGCATTAACTTTGTAATGAATTGTGCTATACAAATAAATTTGCCTTGCCTTGCCTTAATTTAAGAAAATAATAATTTAATGACTTTAAATGATTTTTAATGACCCACTGAAACCCTGTAGTAGATATGCTTTTTTAAAATAAATTGATTCACTATAATCCGACATCAAATCAGGGTTTAAAGGAGAAAAATGCACATAGAAGTATTATATTTACAGTAGGAGACTAATGAGAAGCTTTTATGCATCAGAGATACTAAAGGAAGTTTGTGAAGCACAACAGAGATGCGTAGAAATAGAGTTTAATAAACAGATCGTTTATTGCCCCTAATTGGGAGAAATTTAGATGCAGCAGCAGCAAAGCAACAGATTTAATGTTTTAATAAAGTAATCATTGTGCAGTTACCATTTTTCCATGTTTAGTCTCAATGATATCCCTGCATGTAACTCACCAAGTCTTAGAGCCGTTCAGGGTGTAGGTGCGACTGGATGGATTGTATTTGGCTCTGGTCTCCATGCCGCTGGGGTCGCTGCCATGGTTAGGCTCCGTCAGGCCGAAGCAGCCCAGGATCTCTCCACGAGCTGCGAGACATGGAGGGGTTATCAGTCAGTGAAATAAGACAGCGCTGATAGAGATCAGTGGTCATAGCCTGCGGTGCGGTGCCAGGAAAACAAAGCGGCGAGTGTCACTCCGACTAAGGATGCCAAAGGGAAAAAGGAAGATACCTGATGAGAACAGAGGATTTAATGAAGAAGGGATCGAATCATTTGATTTCATTATCAGTGCAGAAGGATTTCCTGCATTTTTGCTTTGTAATGAGAGGTTGTCAAAAAATAAAAAGAGTAATTTGGAAAAAGCATTTCCAGGGAAGGCTAAATATGCAGCTGATCACAAAGTTGAGAGTGAAACAAAAAGTGGGATCGCAGAATTTCTGGATGTATCAGAGGAGAGCAAAGATAGATTTAAGAAGTGAATTGCATCTCCAAACTCCACTACTGCTGCTAGTTTTGTTGCAAGTACGGAAAACCATCAACAGATCAAACAGGTAGCGCTCTGATTCAGGGATGGGAACTTTATTCTTTTTTCCCCCCAATCCTCTAAATAAAAATAACCCAAGGAACGCTGGGTGACGGAGGATGTGGGATTTCAGGGTTAGAGAGCTCTGCTCTGATGGATGTCAGTTCCTGCTTGGTTCCTTATAATTCATTCAACTCCTCCCAACAAAAACACATCCACCATGGAAAGATTCCTTTATCCTGTTTCTATAATTAAATCAATGAAACAAAACCTAAACCGCGCGGTGAAGGGCAGTGAAGCAGCGCTTCACTCACTCACTCACCTCGTGCTGCTATGTGACATTTGCTCCAGGTTAAACATTTAATGATGAATGCTTATTATATATTTAAGCCCACATAGTCCTTTTCTATAGTGGGATAAAACACTTAGACCCCGTGTTGCCATACGAGGCTGATAGAAGACTTTTACATTTCAGCGGCTCCAGACAGATTTTAGTTTTTGGTCCAATATGGCTCTTTGAGCAGTTTGGGTTTCCGACCCCTGATAAAGAATAGAATATGAAATGTATACAATAGAAATGTGTCTTTGCACCTCAGTTTATTTATATATTATATATATATATATGTATATATTAGGGATGAAACGGTTTATGAAAACTGTCCGAACCGTTTGGTTCGACTTTCTCGGTTCGGTTCGCGTGTGTTGCGTTCGGTTCATGCGCCGCTCCTTTTTCTCATAGGCGAAGCGTTTACACTCCAGAGTAGAAGGTGGCGGTACTGCGACCAAAGCCAACCACCAGTAGTAAACAAGAAGAAGAAAAAGGGAAGCAGCTTAGCCGGGTGTAGCAGAAAACAATCAGTTGTTGTGGAGAATTGTGTGGGTATGGCGAGTGGGAAAGAACTGGAGTTGGAAGACGCGCCAGCAGCACTTTATAGGTCTGCTGTATGGGACCACTTTGCATTTAGAGTGACCTACGATGACGGCGGAAAGAAAGTTAAGGATAAAAGTGCAACAGTGTGCAAGCATTGTGCAACACGTTTTGTTTATGCTAACAGCAACATGACCAACATGTCAGCTTAGAGATTTTCCTAACAATCAAAATATACCGAACCGAAAACCGTGACCACGAAACCGTGAACCGAACCGTGGATTTTGTGAACCGTTCCACCCCTAATATATATAAACAATGAAAATATGAAAATACATTGAAAATGAGGAAACCAGCGAAGTAACCCTCAGAAGCGTTTTTTGATTAAAAAAGTTTTTCATTTCTGGTTTGCATTTTTTTCCCTCCAATTTCCATTTGAAAATATTTCTTTATTTGCAACAACAACGGAACAAGATTCTCTCCATAATCTCCTCCCATGACCAACTTCACTTCCAGCTTTAAAACCCGCCTTGGTTCTACTAAGAAACATCAGAAGGTGGTTGCAGCACTTTTTTTTTAGATTTTTCATAAACGTACAAAAAGAAAGTTTTATTTTAAAGACGCTGACAAATTGTAAGGAGAAGTGAGAGCAATTGTGGTCAGAGGTGTGCGTCTACGCCCAGAAAGCAGAAAAAAAACATTATCTGGAAATGTACTGCTTATCAGTCAGAATGAATACCAGTAAACTCATGATGATGAATAAACAGTTTTTCCCCTCTTACCCAGCTTTGGGAGGTACTTCTGTTTCTGCTCCTCTGTGCCGTAAGCGTTAATCGGGTGCATGACCAGGGATGACTGCACGCTCATGACAGAGCGATAGCCGCTGTCCACCCTCTCCACCTCCCTGGCGATCAGACCGTACGCCACGTAGCTCGTCCCGGCGCAGCCATACCCTGATCGCAAAGAGAGATGTAAACCAAAAACATATGGGCTTTTAGATGATGAATATATTTGGTAGGATCCATAAAAGGGTTTAATTTAATTCAATTCAGTTTATTTCTATAGCGCCAATTCACAACACGTCATATCAAGGCACTTTACAGTTCAACCAGATCATCCAGTCAGATTGATTCATAGTTTTCTATCTAAGGAAAACCAGTTGAATAAATCGACTCATTGACTCGAAGGCAATCCCTCACACTAAGCATGCTTATAGCGACAGTGGAGAGGAAAAAGTCCCTTTTAACAGGAAGAAACCTCCAGCAGAACCAGACTTAGTGTGACTGGTATTCAGCAGAATAAAACGGTAACCCAACTGAAGATCTAATCATCCCTGTTATCACTTATCAGGATTAAGTTATTCTGAATAAGGTAAACTGAGCTCAGTCTGGTTAACAGCTATCAGAATATTACCTTTTATATCACACATGATCCGTCCATTTAAACGGAACATTCTGACTATTTTTGTCTTAAATCTTAATTCATTTCAATTCAATTGAATCATAGCTGGTTGTTCACATGTGACCTACTGGTGCTGCAGGAATAATCTAACTTTTTGTCACTTAAGTCTATATTGTTTGAATGGGTGATGTCTGATCTCTTGTTTCAAAGCCAGGATTGGCAAATACTGATAACATGCCAATAACATCCCCATCCTTCAGTCAGATTGAATGAATCCCTTGTAAATCAGATGAGAAACCCTAAATCAGTCAGACCATAGTTGATTTAGCAGCAGGATGAGCTTTAGAGAAGCTTCTGGTTCCTTCATGCAAACAGTAAAACAATCTGCATCATATCAAAGATAGGAAATGTGGGATCCAGACGGATAAACACGCAGCGGCCCTCACCTCTGCGACTCTTGGTGATAAATAACAAGCACTAGATCCAAATCCTTCTCTTATATTTTGGTGTTTTTATAAAGTTTATCCCATAATGCTTCAGATAATTCCAGACTGACCTTTGATAGTCGGTCCCAGGACCCCCATGTCTCCCATCTCAGACACAATCTCTCTGTGGAAAACTGAAAGCAAACAACACATCCGGTTATGTAAAGCTATAAAGTCCTCCTCCCAGTGAAAAACAAACATATGCTGGTGAAGGTTCTCAGTCATCCAGGTCATAGTAATTCCAAAAAAAGAAAATGAAAAACAATCCACTGGACTTTGTTTCCAAGTTTTAAGACGTTTTGCTTCACGTCCAAGAAGCTTTTTCAATATAACATGTCAGGAATAATGTTGAATTCGAGGTTTTATACCGTAGCCCAACAAGCCCTTGTTTTGTTTAGAAAACATTCAAACTGGAACAGATGAAGCCAGGCCAAAAAATCCCCTTTAACGACAGACCTTTCAGACACTTAGATGGGTATGGGGCATTGCAGTCTAACAAAAGAAGCCAAATGACCCCCATTCCAAAATAGATGGACCCCTTCTTATGTTCTAATTTGCATGTCTTCAAAACAAAAACAATTCTTTGTTGGGCTACTGTATAAAACCTTGAACTCGGACAATTTCTGACATTTTTAATTGAAAAAGCTTTCTGGACGGGAAGCGAAACGTCTTCAAACTTAGAAACAAAGTCCAGCAGATTGTTTTTAATTTTCTTTTTTTGTGGATAGAACTAAATGTATTTAACCCTTTCAGCATGAAACTAATTATTAAAAACTATGAATGATGAACAAAACAATAGAAACGTCAACCAGGGTTCGTTTTTTTTTTTCTTAGTTAAAATATACTGGAAAACTTCTGACTTTCATTTCTGTTTGCCATCAGGATGCGAGGCATGAGCTTCTCTTGGCAGTACGTCCGGAAGGAATCCCTGATCATGATCTCGTCCTCAGTCAGCTGTCCCTCCAGGTCCAGGGCATCCCGCCAGTCGAACTGGACTTTAGCTGCAAGGTGGGAAATTATTTCTATTTACAATGACCCTAGAATATGTTTTCAGCAACTCTGATACTTCTAAGAAGATGGCAACACCTACCTGGCTTCGGCCTCTGTTCAGACTTTTCAGCATCTAGAACAGAAAATGAGACAGAAACAGTTAAAATCATGCTAAGGTTTAAATCCCCAATCTACAGCAAGTGGATCTCTGAGGAAATGTTTACATCCCTTAAATAACTCACTTTGCAAGAAATATGTTAAAATGTTTAAAACAATAATAACCTGAAAACTTTATCATGAATTTATTTTCACTCTTCCTAAGTTTGGTACAATTTAAGCTTTATAGGGACTGGTTGCCCTGGGTAACATTGTTGGTTAGCAAATAAAGGACCTTAAACTTATGGAGTGAATTTTGTTCCATTATCGCTTAAAGCAAAAAATATGTTTTGTAAATGAAAATTTGAAGAAAAAAAAATGCAATTCATAAATTAATCTTTGAAGAAAGTTACAATAATAATGATAATAAAATGGGTTTTGTAAGCAAATTTGCAGTTTTAATTATTAAAAGTTTTTTTTTGAGAAGAGAACTTTAAAACCCAATTTGAAAGGAATGGAAAATGAAATAAGTTTTAATGAATTAATTTGTAATAATATAAAATTAAAAAAACATACGTATGAAAAAAATAATACTAGTAATGCAGTCTAACAAAAAAAGTCTGAAAACTTTTCTTTGATTCAGAAGTTTTAAGTTGTTTGGATTTATTTATTTATTTTTTATTTATAAAAGGTGCTCATTGCTTGCAAAAATAATGGAACAGAATTTGCTCCATATTGGGGCTGAAACAATTAATCGGATTAATTGATTATTTAAATAATCTATTTTACTAATTGATTAGACGTTAACTGGAGTATAGAAACCCTAAAATGTACCTTTAGCTGACAGAGCAACTCACTTAGAGCGTGTTTATACCAAGATGGTAAAAGTAATATACATAGTTTGCATTTAAGATTAAAAAAAATGTTCATCTGTCAATATACTCTATCCAGAACTCCTCAAGTGGAAAAGTTTAAGTTTCATCTGATTTATATTTTGTAATAAAAATCTTTTTTCAGAAATGTGATTATAAATCGAAAAAAATAATCAACAGATTAGTCTATTTGCAAAATAGTCATTAGTTTCATCCCTACTATAAATATGGGATGGTTCTGAACATTAAGGAATTAAATACACTATAAATACCAATTACCACAGCAGACCGGACGAGGAGAAAGCTGTTTTCAGGTTTAAAGCAGAGCTAACTTAAAAAGCAATACCCCCTTTGCCTCATTAGGCATCACTCAGTCCATCAGATAAAAACTGCTAACCTACAAAGACCTGACAGCAGGCTGGTAAATAAAATGATGAAAACAGCTTCGCTCTTTTCACCTAGTCGTAGCGTGACCTAAAAAAATATTAACTCCGCCAGCCAAGTCTGTTTTATGTCAGAGAATTCAGTAATGCCAGGAATAGAATGATCTCTATCTCAGGTTCAAGGTTTGGTGTCAGGTGTCACCTTCCTGGGCCTGATAGAGTTGTTCTGATTCCGATACCAGTACCGAAAAGGTCTCTGATGCTGCCGAAAATAGTATCAGTATTGGCGAGTATTGGAGTCCAGGCACCGATCCGATACCATATACTTTAAAATAGGGACTTTTTCATAACTTCTTAAGTTGTTGTTGTTGAACACATGAAAAGCTGATGCCACATGTATGTATGAGTTGGCAGGAAGGAACAAACACAAATCCTAAATCTATTTACGTTATTGGCTTTCATTTACAAATTCAGACATCTACACTACAATTTTTGGAGCACAAACTTTTTCACTTTTACTTGAGTAAAGAGGTCAACTTTTACCAGAGTGTTTTTAAACTGCAGTATCTATACTTCTACTTAGGTAACAAATGTGTGTACTTTTGACACCACTGAAAATGACCTAATCAGAGACCAAATCCAATTTAATCTGGATTGAGCTCTGAAAATGATTGCTCTAAAGCAAAACAATCCCTCTCAGATAGACTGAAGTTTTTGGTTGGAAGATCACTGACCATGTCTGGCAGCTGCAGCAGTTCCCTGGGCTCTGGATGCTGAGAGGAAGGCGCATCTGTGAGGGTTCACCAACAGGCGACACACAGCACTCCTCAATGCCATGTTAGAAACTGATCTGTGAAGCACACGAATAGATTGGCCCCAAAATTAATGCAGCCATGAATATTCACCTAAACAGGTAGTAATCAGACACGTTACAAGAACCTTTAGAGCATCGCTGCCATGCTTCAAACCGAGATGAGATAGAGAGAAAACAATGACATCTTTATTTATCCCTAACTAATGTCTAACTATTTAGCTGAGACCTTGCATGGCCTTGGTCTTCGTGAGTAGCCAGGTTGGGCTAACTGAGCTAACCTGGGCTGTTAGGTAACTCCAGCTGCTATAAGCTAACAAGCTAGCTTCCTCGCTGTAGCTTTGTGATAACAGGAGCTTTAAGTTTGAAATTAGAAAACAGTTCTCGGATAAATATGCAACTTTTATCAGAAAATAAAGAGTAGAACAACACTCAATAATTTATAATAACGATTTACCGGTATAATGTGGAGAAAAATAGACGCTCGAGCTCCCACGGTGCTGTAGTTCACAGTGCGGTGACACTTTACGTCAAAACATATGCATACGTCATCACGTAACGCGTAAAAAAATGATTACGGTGTTAATAAAAACATTTTAATTCGACTTGTTTTAGAATGAAATCGAAATATAGCTCACTAAAATTGGAAGAAAGCTAAAAAGCGGATTATTTTATGCGTTTTTATGATTTTACTAAAGATGTGCGTTTATTTTTAAAGTAAAGGTCGACTCTGATTGGTTACTTTTCGGGGGAGTGTGTGTGGGCTGAGCTCCAAGAAAAAAAATAAAAAAAACTGTCCGAGTTAGATGAACTTTACTACCAGATCACTCAGAAAAACACACGCAGATACATGACATGAGGGACGATTGTTAGTGTGAATTTGTTCTGAATTTTTGTTTTTAGTGCGAAATCTAAAGATATTTAATTTGACAATTGAATAGACGATCAAGACTAAATAAGAACCAGGAGAAAAAAATAAAATATTTCAAAGTTTATTGATGGACTGATGGATCGTTGGTCAATTTATTACACATATTTGTTTCATTTTTTCCAGTGACTTTACTCCAGTAATGGATAAAGTATAGATACCTAAAAAGTGTACTTAAGTACAGTAACAAAGTATTAGTACTTCATTAGTTGACACTTGGTTTTTTTTTTTCCAATATAAACGTTTAAGCATAATGAAGAAAACATGTTGAAATTTAAACAAATTGATTTTTGGTATCATAAGTGTTATAATGTTTCAGAGTTTGTTTATATATTTATTTATCTATTTTTTTTGACAGTTTTTGAAAAACAATGAATCTGATGCTAATCTAAAGAGTAAAATCCAAGCAACTCTGTTCAGTGTTGATTTTAAAAGAAACGTTATCAGATTTTCTCCCAGAATGCCGACACATCTGTGAATTCTTATCCCTTAAGAAACATGCACTAATGACAACATCAGTGGACTTTGAAGTTGTGGCATAGGCTGCAGGAATTAATCCTGCAACATGAGAGTTAACGGTTTAAATCCCATCACAGTTGTTATAACCTGTAGATGGTGTTCAAAGAGCCCTGAAAATACCTGTTAATGTCAGCCTTGCTTCNCATAAGCCTGAAAACAGGGGCGGATTTAGGAAAATCGGTCTCCGCCAGTCACGTGACATTTGTTGCTAAGACGCCATTTTAGGTGTAAAAGGCATAGTGTACCGCGCCCGAGGTAAACAATTGACGTCACTTGGCGGAGACCGATTGATGAACTGATGGATCGTTGGTCAATTTATTACACATATTTGTTTCATTTTTTTCCCAGTGACTTTACTCCAGTAATGGATAAAATATAGATACCTAAAAAGTGTACTTAAGTACAGTTACAAAGTATTAGTACTTCGTTAGTTGACACTTGTTTTTTTTCCAATATAAAAGTTTAAACATAACGAAGAAAACATGTTGAAATTTAAACAAATTGATTTTTGGTATCAGAAGTGTAGTAGTGTTTTAGAGTTTGTTTATATATTTATTTATATATTTTTACACAGGTTTTGAAAAACAATGAAACTGATCCTAATTCAAAGCGTTAAATCCAAGCAACTCTGTTTAGTGTTGATTTTAAAAGAAACTTTTAGAATATTTTCTCCCAGAATGCTAACATATCTGTGAATTCTTATCCCTTAAGAAACATGCACTAATGACAACATCAGTGGACTTTGAAGTTGTGGCATAGGCTGCAGGAATTAATCCTGCAACATGAGAGTTGAAGGTTTAAATCCCATCACAGTTGTTATAACCTGTAGATGGTGTTCAAAGAGCCCTGAAAATACCTGTTAATGTCAGCCTTGCTTCCTGTCAGCGTGCCCCATTGCAGCTGTGGCCTACATACCAGTGTTATGCCTCACGATACTCTATATTTGTCCATAACACCTAATAAGGATTAAAAACAGTTAGCGGTATTGTCTTTTGACACATTATAAAAGTGTTAAATAAATAAATCTCTCTCTAAGTACTAACTATATATCAGTTTCAAAAGAATTTTTAACTCGATCGAGCATGGACCATTGTAAACACTTTAAAAATCTTGAATTTAACTTCTTAGGAGTTGAATTAACACTTTTGCAGTTATTTTAACTTACAGGATGGACTGAATGTTTAGCAGACTAATACAGAATGCATCTTGCCATAGATATTATTTCCTTTTTTTTGTGTTGAATCATCATTTTATTAAAAAATAATCAAAAATCATTGCAATAATCTTGATATACAGTATTTCTCGATCTCATACAAAATCATTTAAAAATTGAAAAAAACTCTTCGTCACTCTGGTATATTACAAGCAGATTAGCCTGAAATCCTTGTGTCCTTATGCAAGCTATGGTTACCTCCAGAGGCCTACATCATAATAGGCAAAGCACGTCAGCTAAAACAGATGGTTTGCAAATAATCAAAAACTTTAAGATGATACGATCAACGACAGGGAAAATGGCTCCGGGATGTCTTAGGGAGTGCATCAATCTTTTTCCTCCTAAGGAGTGAGCTGCAGAATCAGGTTTCCACAAATGCACGGCTAAGTTGATGCAGCACACTTGGGATGTGAGTAGAGTGGATCTACATGCGCAGCGAGGCACTTTTCCACAACGGCCTTGTTATGTCTAGAAAATCCCTCCATAGATAAAAGCACTACTTGAGTCCTGTGCCACAGCAGCCGGATGGCATCCAGATTCAGTGCATTTAGGAAGATGCTTCTCATCCAAGTCAGCAGGCTTTCTTAAACACTTCCCACGAATAAACTCCTTCCAACAAATCAGACAACCACTTAGTAATAAATCTGTGCAACATGCCAGGTTAGAGCTTGAAATATCAGAGCTGTTGGTAGAAACTCATTAGATTTTAAGCTGGAAATCAAAACAGAAGAGTTGTTAACAGTCTAGATATATAATCCTCATATGAAATGTATGAATACCTTTAAAAAATTAAGATCTTAAAATGCAATAGCAACAAAACAAAACATCTGCACTGGAAAAAAAAGATCTAGAAATAAGTAAAAATTTCTTAAATGAAGTGTATATGCCCTTGATTTGTGTAGGTAAAACGAGATAACTTGCCAATGGAATGAGTGTTTTTACTCTTAAAATAAGATTAGATCATATGCACTTTAAGTAAGACAATGCAATTGTGTTTCTTATTTTGAATATAAATTGTCTTGTTCCATTGGCAAAAATGTATCTTTTACCTCCTCAATCCAAGAACACATGCACTTATTTTAAAATAAAAATAACTTTTTTCCCCAGTGTGTGTCAATAACAGAAGTTTTGTCCTTGGCTTTAAAAGCAAAACATCTTCCATTTATTCAATAAGCCTGTGAAATGTCATTCTTTTTATTCAATATGATTTTTAACATGGATTTTAGGCATCTTTACAACAGTAAATAAAATAGATTCGGTTTCATACCTATTGGAACCAAAAACATGTAATTTACTTGTTTCCTACATATTACCCCATGCATCTAGGTGATATTGTGAGTATCCTATCTATGGAGGTGTTGATAAACTTTAGTTGCATTATAGTAAAATTATATAGATTGAAAGAATTGTTGGATCTCTTAATAATGGAACTGTACTATTATCCATCATGCATTTGGCTCATGTTAATACTAAAATGCTTTTATACATTATTTAAGTCTGGTCTAACTTTTCAAAAAGATTTTAATTAAACAAATCTACAGCTACCTTAAGGTTGTCCCACTTTTCTAAATTAAAAACACTATTATCTATGTTAGTTTTGTTTTTTTGGGATTTTTTGTTACAGCCTGACAAAAAAGAGAGAAAAAGCTGAATGAAAATGGCTATTTTTAATAAAACAAAAATATGAAAACAAAATATACTCGTCTATTTGTCATTTCGTTCAGTTTTCCCTTCCTGTTGGTCTCAGTAGTGGCATCTGTCATTAGATGTTTCATATTAACCATCCAAAAAGTTATACCAACCTGAACATCATTTTTCATGCAACTTTTAAACCCGCTTTCTTTATGGTTTCCTCATGGTCTGACTATATCTGCATATTTAGCTATTTTTAATAGCATCTAATTTTAAAATAAACAAAAATATATAGTAAAAAAGTACAGTTATATTTTTATAATCATCTGTTTGTATAGTTCATTAGTGAAACGTTTTTTAAGTTTCATAAATATTCATTTCTATAACTCACCAAAATTTAATCTTGGATAACACAAAATTTAACAAGTGTGGACAAAAGTACATAACCTGTAAGCCTCCTACCGGAACCGCAGCCCTAAACCTACAGCCAGAGCTACAGAGGAATGGTTGAAGTGTCTGAACGCTCTAATCAAATCCAATACCTAAAGATAAAAAAGAAAGTCGAGCAATACATGACGCTAATATAGATGTTTCCCAGACACAGTCCAAGCACAATAACTGTGCTGAAGTCATGCTCCACAGATTGCTTAAAATGTTCAATTGTTGGTTGAGCAAAGTGTGCAACACAGGTCAAAAGCAGGGGTGGAGCTAGAAGGAGGACCAGAGGTGACCGTGGCTACCCCTAATGAACTGGTTGATTAGTTGCTCCCATTGGAAGGTCCTTTGCCACCTCCACAAAACGCAGTTCCCATCTAAAACAGGAATTAAATTATTATTTACATCAACATACTAATATAAAATAAAACAAAATACAGAATACCATGCCTTATTTCAGAGCTAGGTTTTGTGCTGCTTTATGGGGAAGAAGAAGTTATGAGTCTGTGCAGTTATCTATAAAATTAGAGAAAAAGAACTGCTGCTCATTCCATTCAATTTGAATATATTGCAGAACCAAAACCAGTTTAGACAACATAGAATTATAAATATGTGAGTAGATCTATTAGCAATGGCTTTTAAAAGATATAATCTGTCTTTACTAATTTATTTGGAAAATTTGATCTTTTGCTCATTTAGATTCCAGTTGTTTCAGTGTGATTAGTGTAGATAGACCCAAATTGGTTTAGGAGCATTGCTCCCTGCCTCCTCTGCTCAATAATACGATGGAGGAGTAGGGCCAGGCTAGAGATGTTTCTATTTTTTATTACGAGAATAAAGTCGTAATATTATGAGAATAAAATT